CTGTGGCGACGGGCGGCCCGGCCCCGTTATCCCGAATGCCGGCGCTGCGGGGCGGCTCGCACCGCGTTAGTGCCTTAAAGGGCGGATTGTCCGCAGAGCGTAGGGGCTGTGCGAGCCACAGGCTCGGTTTGCGCCCTGTGCCGGTGGGGTGGGCTCGCTGCTGCCGGGACACCCCGGCCGGGCCCGGTGCTGTGGATCCCGGCAGCCCCGGCTGGCACGGCAGCCCCGCTGCGCGGCGGGGACGGGTGGGAAGGGGCGCTCCCAGCCTGGCTCTGCTCCTATCGGAGTCACCGCTCCCACTCTGCTGGGCTGCTTTTCAGGCGTTACAGCTCCCGATAATTTGTTTTCCACGCGTGGCTCCGGGCTGGCTCGGTGTGGGCTGGGCACGGAGGGGCCGTGGGGCCGGGACCGTGCCCCGAGCTCGGCCCAAGGCCGGGGTGAGCTCCGGCCAGGGCTGGTCCTGGTTCTCCTCTCGCCGCCGTGCCTTCCACCCTGCCTCACCTTTTACACACAGCAATTTATGCTTTTATCCTTCCTCTTCCTATCCCATCGTCTTCATGTTTTCCATGTAAATTTATGCAACAGCGATCTGTTGGATTTTCCTATTTCCTTTCCACACTACCTTTTCCCCCCCCCTGTATTTTTGTGTGCAAAATCATGTTCTCAGCGAGACTGTGGGTTTTACACTTAATGTGCAAGTTGCCATTTCTCTCATTGTTTTTGTGGGATGGAACCGGCATTGCCTTCAAGCTGTGGAGAATCAGTCAGAGACTCATACCTCAGCTCACATTTAACACCGTGTTAAAAGTACAAAGCAGAGCAAAGCTAAGAATAGAAAGGATAATTATTATTATAAATAGCTTGCTGCAAGAGTAGGGATGGTTTTGGTGCCTCGTGCTTGTCTTATTTGAAATGTGCAACATTTTGCTCTTTGTGTTTTTTTGCAGTGATAAGCCCTGGGAACAGTTACTCAGTTGCGTTCAGGATTGAACCTGTTTTCCCCTTTTTGATACAAGTGAAGTTCTTGTTGGTTATTGAAACATTTTAAGGAAAGAGTGAGAAGAGCATTAGGGATCGTTGTCTGTTGCTCTGGGGCTCGGGGATGTATTCTGGGGTGAGAGTGGATTGTCTCTCCTCACCGAAGGGCTGCTGGTTTATCTGGAGCAGAGGGCTCTGATTTCCCAGGCCCAGGATCTGGTGTTGGCGTTTGAGCCCTCAGACACAGCATTTCTGTCATGGAATTGTGAGTGGGGATGGATAAACGTGGCTTTATCCTGCCACGCTGCCTGGTGGGTGCCCAGCCACGTCCACAGTTTTATCCAATTCGCTTCACACAGAAGGGCAGTTGTTAAGATGAGTTTTGAAAGAAATAAATGTGACAGTGCTGCTATTGTTATCTGAATTCTCAGATACCTCAGTCTGTGACACTGAAGGGAGAGCTTCAGCAGCTGCCAGACTGGAATTATCAACACAGTGTTTTCAGCATGATGTTCAGGTTTGTGACCTTACAAAATCCCATGGTCTGATGGGCTTGTGCTGCTGGACAGGTAAAGGGAAGGAGCCTCCAAGTCCAGTGCCTTTGAACAGTGAATACTGTTTAGATGTGCTGGGGTTTGTTTGTAGTAGTGTTAGTGAAAAATAGGGTTTGTCTTGCTTTTGTGTCAGCCACTTGCAGTTTAAACACCTGGTTTAAACCCTGAGTTGGGTGTCCTTTGGTCCAACCAGTTCAATGGCATCTGAAACAGTTCAGGAAACAGGTTTTTCAAGGTAGCCAGGCTCCATGGACACTTCTGTAAATCAGTAAACCTGTCATATGCCATGACTGGCTTTAATGACACAAAGGGATTCTGGAATTTAGCTCCTGGATTGTAGAATTCAGGTCTTGGTTTACTGGTGATTGCTGAAGATAAAAATGGGTTTAGGAAAGACTTGGGTTTCTAGTTCTGGGGTTCCCTGTCTGCCAGTGGGGACATCCCACCTCTGTTACACCTGGCTGTGCAGCATGGAGCTGTGGCCCAGAGGGAGTGCTTGGAATTGCTGCTCTGGTTCTTTCCTCTCCTGCCCTTTTTAGCTGCAGAGGGAGTTGTGTGTGGGCAGCCAGAGAAGTGTGAGAAGTGTCCAGTGGACAAATGTGGATCCCCAGGGAGTGGATGTTTTCCTGGTTTGCTGTTTTCCCAGCCTGGAGGTGATGAGTTGAGTGTCAGCTCTCCCCTGTGCAGCTCCCAGTCCTAACAATGACAGTGATCTTGTGCTCCTCAGATTGGGCAGAAAAAGGGATGTTTTGGGACTCACACCTCCCTGAACTGCCAGGCAGCAGCAGCAGGAGCTCCTCCAGTGGGGCTGAGCAGCAATTCTGGATAAAGGATTCCTTGAAATTGCCAGGTGAATGTACAAGGTCTGTGGAAATGAGTTAACAGTACTAGGAAAAGGAATCTGGAAGTAAACCCAGCCTGAAGTTTTTTATGCTTTTGTAGAAAAGGATTACAAGAAGCAATTCCTTCATGTACCTCGAGAAGATAATTTACTTGGAAGGTGTGATTCATTTAATTTACCTGGGAACATGCCATGAAATTAAGGAACCTGAACTCCAAAAAAAATAAAGTTGTCAGAAAAAGTATTGTGACTGTCAGCTTTAGAAATCAATAATGTCCATTTATTGAAAATGTTATTCTGTTAAAATTACCCTCTTTATAGGGAATTCTTTACACAGCTGGTGTTAAGAAGGCCTAGGATTTGTGCTTGAGTATTAAAAATCAGCTCTGTGAGAGAGTTGAGTGTCAGGAGCAGCTGAATGCCTGTTCTGGTGGCTCCCCAGGTAAGGTGTTTAAGGCAAACCTGCAAGAAAGGAAATGTTTTATATTCGAGATTATATTGTTCAAAGTATTTCACTTGAGAGAAATGCACAGAGAACTTATGACTGAGATAATTCAGTCATTCAAGAGTTGTCTGATAAGATGATGTGGTTTGAATTGGTCTTTCCAGACAGGGGTGTTGTGTTTCCTGAGGCTGCCAGGTAGGAATTCCTGCAGTGTCCTTGCTGCTCTCCCCTTGCAGCTGTGAATTCACAACTACAGCTCTGCACGAGGAGGAAGTTCCCAGGGCTGGTTTTTTGTGTCATTCACCTCCAACAACGCCAGCCCAGGGCTCGTCAAAGCAGAGTGATTAAATGTCATTACAGATCCTGGTGTTGTGGAGTGCTTCCTCTTGCTGGCTCGTGCAGTGTTACAGAGGGCAGGTGTGACGCTGGTGCTGAGAGCATTGTGTGCAAGGGCGTCTAAATGTGCACTGAAACCAAAACTCCTTCCTTTTGTGTCTGCTGGGGACCTGAAACTCACAGTGGGCTCTTTTGGGGAGCGTTCTGCTCAAAGTTTGTGCATTTTCAGCACCTGACATCCAGGCTGGTGGTGCACCCTGTGGGACCCTAATGGAACTCCTTGGGATTGCCTTGGAATTCCATCCAAACCAACATTTCCAGCAAGCCCTTTCAAAAAACTGTATCTTTGATGGAGAAGTTGTCATTTCTGAGAGGGCTCCTGACAAAGCTCTGTGCACTTGGTGTCTTTTCATGTCTTGGCTGTCAGTGCTGTCTGTGCTGAGCCTTGGTTGTGGCAGGCAGAGCTGGGAGTGCAGCAGGAGCTTCCCACAGGCACAGAGAGGCTGTTGGAGTCAGAACCTGGTGCTCACACCCAGCTTCCCCAGCTGTGATTTTGGTGTGAGATGATTCCCTTCTCCCCACACAGGCATCTTTGCTTACCTGAACTACCATGTTCCCCGGACGAGGCGGGAGATCCTGGAGACCCTCATCAAGGGGCTGCAGCGCCTGGAGTACCGGGGCTATGACTCTGCAGGTGCCTCCCTCTCAGCTCTTCTGGGAATCTGGCTTTTCTTGGAGGGATTGGGAATGGTTTCTGACACCTTCTGCTATTGAGGAAAGCTGTAACACAAACTGGATGTGCTTGTGGTCAGAGGTTTGGGTTAATTTCAACGTAAAGATTTTTAAAAGCATTCTTGATGTTTGGTGGGTTTTTTTTTCCCTGAGGCTTTAAAAATACTGACAAGGTGGCAAAGGGAAAACTTAGTTCTGATCTAAGGGGTTTCTTGCCTTTATGTGGCAGGCCAGCTTTTGGAGAAAGGGCTCAGGAGGAATCAAAAAGGCCAGAATTTGTTCCCATAAAATGCTGTCATAACTTCTGCACTTGACCCTCTTTCCACTGTGGGGTTTAGGTGTGGGACTGGACGGTGGAAATGACAAAGACTGGGAAGCCAATGCTTGCAAAATCCACATTATCAAGCAGACGGGGAAAGTGAAGGCTCTGGATGAAGAGGTTCACAGTAGGTATCTCCCTTTCCTGCTTTCCCTCCAAATGTCTCCTCACCAATCTGTGTGTTTTGAATGTTTTACCTGTTATACCCAAACCCACACATTTCCAAGTAATTTGTGTGTAAGGAGACAGAGTCCCGTGGTCCCTGAGGCCTGCTGAGACTCCCAGCCTGGCCTGGGGTGTGGACAACCCCTCAGGACTAAAACTTTGTGTGCTGCAGAGCAACAGGACATGGATCTGGACATCGAGTTTGACGTTCACCTGGGGATCGCCCACACGCGCTGGGCCACGCACGGGGAGCCCAACCCTGTCAACACCCACCCGCAGCGCTCCGACAAGAACAATGGTCAGTGCCTCCCCCGGCTCCTGCAGCTCCCCAGCAGCTCCTGCAGCTCCCCAGCAGCTCCTGCAGCTCCCCAGCAGCTCCTGCAGCCTCGGGGAGAGCTTCTGCCCCCTCCATGTCCCGGCAGGGGTGGCTGGGCAGGCACTGGGGTCGTTCAGGCCTGATGGAGCTGCTGAGCCCGGTTGTGGTGAAGCTGCAGGGCTTGGGCTCGGGTTCCAGCCACGAGGGATGTTCCCCACAGTGAGGGATCCCAGCAAGGGTTGGGGTGGGTGCCAGGGCCAGGATGGGTGTGTGGGCACAGAGAAAGGACGAGAAGACAGGAGGAAACGAGACTGAAGTGAGAATTTTTGTGGCAGCAGCAGCAGCAGCGTGCAGTTCTTTGCTCCCAGCAGGAGCTGCCAAGTGCTCAGGTGCCTCCAGAGGCTCTGCAGGGTGTGGGTAGCCCTGGGACCACCCAGGTCACTGTTATCCCTGGCCATGCCAGGGGGGCAGAGCAGGGAATGGCACCAGGATGGGAAATGTGGGCCTGTCCCACAATCACACGAGTGGGCTCTGCTGCCAGGCTGGGGCTGGCACGGGGCTGAGCAGGGCATTTCCTCTGTCCCCAGAGTTCATCGTCATCCACAATGGCATCATCACCAACTACAAGGACCTGCAGAAATTCCTGGTGAGTGACCCCTGGGGGGTGAGACCCTCCCTCCTATCCCACTCCCCTTTGCTCTCACAGCCTTTCCAGCTCACACTCTCACACTCCTCCACTCCCCTCACTCTCCCACTCACTGCCCTCTCTTCCTCTCACAGTTTAAAGGCAGGAAGGATGGAAGGAGAGTGTGAGAAGAGGAGAAAAGGAAAAAAAGAAAGGCAGGGAGGTAAAAGGAAGAGGAAAAGCAGAGCGAAGGATGGGAAAAAAAAGAGGGAGAAAAGAGTGAGAACAACTGCAGTATGAAAAGGGAAAGGAAAGGAAAGAAGGAGAGGCAGGAAAGAAAAGGAAGAGCAGGAAAAAGGAAAGATGAGGGAGGAAGGCAGGAGCAAAGAAAAAGAAAAGCATGAGAAAAAGGGAAGAAAAAGTTAAAGGCAAGGTGAAAGAAAGGGAGCGGTAAAAACAAAGAAAGGAAAGGTGGGAAGGAAAGAAAAGTGAGGAGGAAGGGAAGGAGGGCAAAGCAGGGGGGAAGAGGAGGCAGAGTCACCCACACAGGCTGTCCCTGCAGGAGAGCAAGGGCTACGACTTCGAGTCGGAGACGGACACGGAGAGCATCGTCAAGCTGGTCAAGTACATGTACGACAACCGCGACAGCGACGACATCAGCTTCTCCACGCTGGTGGAGAGAGTCATCCAGCAGCTGGTAATGGGCACAGTGCCACCCACACACCCAAAAAACCCCTGCCCCCACTGCTGCAGGATGCTCTGGGCATGCCTGTGTCTCTCCTGCCTCTGACTGCTCATCTCAGGATGAATGAACGTTCGGTTTCCTTGGGCATTTGTCAGTGTTCATCTGGGAAATGTCTCAGTTCCTGGGCACAGCAGCACCTGGAGCCTGCCAGCCCCTGGCTGGGGTGGTGGCAGTGGGGAGGGAGCTGGCCTGGGAGAGTCTGTGCTGCTTCCAGTCCTTTCCAAAGCTCCATCCAGGATTGCTGCTGACCCCTGGTGGGAGCTGCTCCGTGGAGCCTCTGCCTCCACTGCCTGGTTGTGTGCAGGAGCAGGATCCAGCACAGTTCAGCTCTCACCCCACAGCACCTGGATCAGCTGAGTTTTCACTGGTTTCCCTGCCAGAAGCTGTTGTAGCAACAGGCCAAGAGCTTGTGTTGCTGGCAGGTTGTGGCACCTCAGCTGAGAAAACACCCTGAGGTTTTGGTGCTGCTTTTAGCAGATCTTTGCCTCTGTAGGTCCCCTCACTGCACCCTGAGCTAAGGCAGAACTCACCTGGATAACCAAGGGAGTCTGAGTCTCTCTGGGGCTCCAGGAGACTCCTTCAGTGGTTGAGAAGTGCTGCCAGGCTCAGGGAGGGACATCCTTCCAGGATGGGGGGGCTGGGGTTACAGGTGCTTCTGGAAACATCTCTGAAACCTCTTTGGTGTCCCAGTTTCTGTGCTGGGAGCACTGAAACAGTGCCCAGGTCTCAGCTGAAGGGATGAACAGTTTGTTTCTCTTGTTGCAGGAAGGTGCTTTTGCCCTCGTGTTCAAGAGTGTTCATTACCCTGGGCAGGCAGTTGGTACCAGGTGAGTGTTGTCATGGGGAGGAACATTCCTGCACCCTGTCTGTCACTTGTTTTTGTGCCCCACGTTAGAAGACAGAGTAGAGATCATTCTCATCATGCTGGGGAAGAGGGTGTTTGTTGTTTTTAATTTCCTTTCTCTTGTTTTCCATCTGTCATAACAGAAAGTTCCCAGAAATATTTTGGAAGTTTCTTACTGACCAGCTGTACCTGGTCTGGATCAGCTTTATTTTGGTATCCTCTGCTTATGATTTGAAAGGAGATGATTTTGCCTTTTCCTTTGTGCTTGCCCTTGTGGCAGCACTTGGCCAAGTCCTCCACTTGGCCTGGAATTTGGGCCAGCCTCGTGTTCAGGTTTTCTATCCCACTTTTAAACACCAGCATCAGCTGGGGTGGTTTCAGCAGGGTTGAACTTCAGTGCCAACAGCTGTTTGTAGGTTTGTCCAGCGAGGAGCAGCTCCTGGCTCAGGTGTGCAGTAACTCTTGAGAAGTTTGTCTAACCCTGCTGCAGGTTCCTCACGTCCTCGTGTTCTTTACCCCGCAGTTCTTTCTGTGTTTGCTCTGGGGGGCTCTGGCTGTGCCCTGGTGCAGCTGAGCTGCTGCTGGGGGGTCCTTGGTGGGGGTGTGGGCCAGCTGGGTGTCCCCAGGTGCTGAGGCTGTCCCTGTGTCCCTGCAGGCGAGGCAGCCCCTTGCTGATCGGCGTGCGCAGCGAGCACAAGCTCTCCACCGACCACATCCCCATCCTGTACCGCACAGGTGAGTGTGGAGAGCTCCCCTGGGGCTGCAGGGCACGCAGCTGTGTGCTCTGAAACACAGCTGGAAATCACAAATCAAGCCATTGTTAGAGGGGGTTTTTTAAAAAGCAAGTCTTTAACCATGTGTTCTACCCACCTTGTACCTCAAGTGTTGTAATCAAAGCTTTAATGTCCAGTTATTGCAAGGAAAATACATCTTGGTATAGTCATGGAATGGCTTGGGTTGGAAGGGACCTTAAAGCCCATCTTGTTCCAACCCCCCTGCTGTGGGCAGGGTCACCTTCCAGGGTCTCAGGGTGCTCCAAGCCCCTTCCAGCCCCTTCCAGCCCCATCCAGCCCCATCCAGCCCCATCCAGCCCTATCCAGCCCAGCCTTGGACACTGCCAGGGGTGCTGGAATAGTTCAGTATAATAAATTCAACAGGACAGTTAAACTGAGGTCTCTGTTCTGCGTGTGGCACATTGGCATTTGTGAGCCTGGTGGTTTCCAAGAAGAAAGATGAGAGAGCTCTGCAGGTGGAGCCTGGCACTGTCACAGACCTTGCCCCTGCCACCCCACATCATTTGTAGAAGCTGTTACCCTTCGTGGGACAGTGGCTGTTCATGTTGTCTGTCCATCCTGCTCCCACAGACACCCTTGAAAATGAAAAGTGGCTAAGAATTAATTACTCTGTAATTCCCTGTGGTCAGAGGGGTCTGAGCCTGTTCAGTCCCAGGGACCTGGACTTGTCTTGAGCAGTGCAGGGACCCGAGGAATTGCTGTCCTGCCCTGCTGCTTCCTAACAGTAGCTGCTGATCCCCTGCTGCAAGAACCAGCCCCAGAAGCTTTGCCTTTTGATTGGATGATTAGCAGAAATATTAGTGTGTTTATGCAACACTGTATTATTTTACTGATTATCTCAAGTTTGGTTTGTTTTTTTTTTCCAATTGCACTTTCAGCCGTACAATCTATGGATCATTCTTTTGATGGAATATCCATAAAAATGGAGGAAGGTGCCTACCAGAGAAAAGCTAACACTTGAAATTTCAGACAAATCATCCAGTTCCTTAGGAGAGGAATCATAAATGGGGCCAAGATGCATTGTCTTTTTAATATGTGGTCATTGCTTTCCGTGTAGTGAAACACTTGGGAGAATCCAAATTCCTTCTTGATCAGAAACACCAGCAGCAACACACAGGAAAATCCACCCATCCCATTTCAAATACTGAGACCTAATGCTCAGCATATGTGCACCAACTGATGACAGTGCAGCTCTGGCTACAGAAAATAATCCACAGAAACCGTGAATTACTGTAAAAATAAACCCCACTAAAGCAGGAGGCTGCTGCTTTAGTCCATCAATCCTAATGCCAGCACTGCCCAAAATTCCTGCTGGAGTTTGTGCTGTCAGAGCTGTGTCCTCCCCTGGGCACGGTGTGAGTCTGAGCTGCAGCCTCCCAGCGATGCTGGGACTTCCTTCCTTCCTTCCCCTGTTCCTTTATCAGGGGGAACCATCTGTTACTCACTTGCAGGGCTTTAAAGGCCAGGCCATCACAGGATGGGGTGAACCAGGCTCACTCCTGAAGCAGGAGAACCTTTTGTGTCAGGGAGGATCTGTTTGTTGGTGGCTGGAAATAAAAGGGATTCCACCCTCAGTGGCCTCGGGCTGGGTGAAATATCTGATTATATCTTGAAATATCTTGCTGGAGGAGAAGCAAACCTGGGTTTGCTGGGAGGTGAACGGTGTTCCCTCCCAGGAGCTGGTTTACCTGGCTCCAAACATCAGGAGAGATTTTTTATTTCCTCTTTCCCCGCTGTACCTGTCTCTGAATAAAGTTTTTGAAATAAAACTCCATAGCCAGGAAAGCCCCAGGGGCTCTGAGGTCCCTCAGCTCTCAGGGGCACTGAGGATTTTCTGAGAAATTGCCTCAGCTGCCCATTTTTACTGTACCTGGGTAAATTCTCCATTCTTTGGTGCAAAAGGGAAGAGATGAAAAGATTCCTTCTGTGTTGCTTCTAAATTGTAGTAAATGAGGTGTTGGTGCAGTAGAGCAGCAGTCAGATTATTTACAGATAAATGGACAACCCTTGGACAAATCCACAGATGAAATAAAAGCCATAACTGGCTGATAATGCTCACTGCAAACACCCAACCCTTGGTAATTGGCAGTGCAAGTGTGCACAGTGACCACCCTCCAGTGCAGAATGTGTCATGCAGGAAAGCAATGCAACCTCACAAAGCCAATGCAGGGAAATGCTCTATTTTGAGAAACCAAATTTGCATGTTCTGATCAGGTCTGGGTGCTTCTGGTGGGGGGGAGGCCACTAACAGCTCTGCTCTGTCCTTCCTCAGCACCAAATCAGTCTGTCCTGTGGCAGCAACAAAGGCATTGCTTTTCCTCACTTACTGACTCGAGAACTGGGCTGGAAAGCTCTGAATCACAGGCTGGGTGATTCTGTTTCACTGGGTACCAACATGAAAGCAGTATTTTTCCTTTCCATTTTCATCTGTAGAAGTGTAAATCAGAGCACCACGAGCTCTGCTTACATCACTGAATCAGATCAGTGTCTAGTAGGTGAAACAACATCAGGATTATGGAATAAATATAGAATGGAGTAACTTGAGTGTTGCTGTTCTTCAGCAATAGTCCCATTTTGGGAGATGAGCTGATTAATCCACCCCCACCCTCCCCATAGCCTGCACAATGACTGGCAAATAACTCTGCTGGAGGCTGGTGCTGAGCAGTAGGTGTTGGGTGCCTCATCTGCATCCCTGATGAGCTTCACCACTGAGCAGCAGCTTGGAGGAGGAGGAGGAGGAGGATGAGACAGAATTGGGAATTACCAGAGTACTCCAGAAAGGATCCTTGGTGAGATACTCAGCTTTTAGGACAGAGTTTTCCAAAGCTGACTCTCAGTCCTGTGCCCTCCAGCAGCCCTGGATGCCTCCCTGGCAGCAGCACAGGTCTGATTTTCTGGTCAGGGTGAGGTGGTTGTGTTTGGTAGTGCAGGAACAAAGCCAAGCCCTTAATCCCAGATTTCCTGAGCTGTGTCTGAGCAGTGAGCTCAGCCAGCCAGAAATAGGTTTGGGTTCCACCTGTGGTGCTCAGGAGAGCAGGGTGGGCACTGAAGGCTGAAGGAATTTCCCCAGTGCTGAGAGCAACAGACAAAGAAAGAGCAATGCTTCTCCATTTCTGGGGGCTCTCCTAAAGGGATCAGCAGGGCAGGGTTAATGGGGAGATGTGGCTGCTCATAAAGCACCTTCAGTTCTCTGCCAGGGGAGCCACACAAAATTATAATTTGGATTTTTTTTTTTCCTGATCCTTTCCTCTAAACTTCAAACTGCACTAATAATTCACTTGCAGACTTACTAAAGAGTAATAAAACTCTTGTAAGAGAACTGAGGATGGGCACAGCAGCACAAGTTCCTTTTGCTGTGCCCACCTGCAGGCATGAAAATAGTGCTTCATGTTGGTACTGTGCCTTGGGGCCTGCTGCTGGGTGTCACCTGTGCCCAGGTGTGTCACCTGTGCCCAGGTGTGTCACCTGTGCCCAGGTGTGTCCCCAGGCAGCCCCTGACCCTCCTGTCCCCTAGGGAAAGACAAGAAGGGGAGCTGCAACCTGTCCCGAGTGGACAGCACCACCTGCCTGTTCCCCGTGGAGGAGAAGGCTGTGGAATATTACTTTGCCTCTGATGCCAGGTAGGGTTTTCCAGGATGCAGAAATATCCTGTTTAAAGCTCTCTCCAACAAGAGGTGGGGGGAGGCTGTGGTTGCTTTGTGAGTAAAGTAAATTAATGTGCACGTGGCCATTGCTTTATAAACACTGACCAAAACAGAGCTGTTGTTAAAGTAATGAACAGTGGCTTTGGAACAGAGTGTTAACAGGAAACCTGAGAGGGCACTGACCCAAATTAGCAGGACAGATGCTAATTGTGAGGAGAATTGTGTTGATTCTCCAGTGATCTCTGCACACATGCAGTTCCTCCATCATCAAAGGTGACCTGTAATCCCAGAGGGGTGAGGACAGACCAGCTGGGCAGCAGCCTTAGCAGAGATTTTGGAACTCTCTGGTTCGAGAGAAATGAGTGTTTGCTCCAGGAATGTAAAAATACTGCTGTGGTTGATTTCTGCAGCTCTTTCCATCAGAGGAGACTCTCAGCACACCCTGATGTGTTCTGCTTTTCACTGACACTCGAGGGAGTGCTGCTGAGCAGACCTTGGGTCCCCTAACAGGGGACAAAGCTGTTTTTGCAGCTGGATTTACAGCTGGGCAAAGTGAGGGACAGGGGAGAACCAAGGGAGGAGCAGCTCTCTGTGTCTGAGCAGCCTGTGTGCCAGGGCACATCCCTGACCTCGCAGCTCCAGGCAGACCCCACTGCTGCACACGCTGCTTGCTTTCTCTGAGCACTTCAGAGCTTCTCCTTAAAGCAGGAATTTCTCCTGAAATTAATGATGAGCCAGGTGGAAAAAGCCCAGTTCCATTGGCAGGGTGGAAACGCCACGGGTCTGGCCGGATTGTAAAGGACGAGGCAATTCCTCGGCTGCAGGTGGGCTGAGAGGAAGGGCTGCAGCTCCCCAGAGCAGGGTGTGATGTCCCCTGTGTCCCCACAGCGCTGTCATCGAGCACACCAACCGTGTCATCTTCCTGGAGGACGATGACGTGGCGGCCGTGGTGGACGGGCGTCTGTCCATCCACCGCGTCAAGCGCACGGCCGGCGACCACCCGGGCCGGGCTGTGCAGACCCTGCAGATGGAGCTGCAGCAGATCATGAAGGGTGAGAGCTGCTGGGGGCAGCTGGGNCTGGGGGGCACCTGAGGGTGCCTGGGGGTACCTGGGGAGCACCTGGGGGCACCTGGGGGCATCTGGGAGCACCTGGGGGGCACCTGGAGGCATCTGGGGGCACCTTGGGGGCACCTTGGGGGTACCTGGGGGCACCTGGAGGCACCTGGGAGCATTTGGGAGCACCTTGGGGGCATCTGGGGGTACCTGGGAGCATTTGGGAGCACCTTTGGGGCACCTGGGGGCATCTGGAGGCAGCTGGGAGCACCTTGGGGGCATCTGGTGGCACCTGGGGGCATCTGGGGGTACCTGGGAGCACAGGTGCTGTGGCAGGGTACGGGGGGCTGGGGTCACCTGCTGCCATCCCTGCCCCAAGCCTGCTCCTCCAGTCTGGAGCATCTCCAGGGACAGAGGTCCCACAGCCTGTATCACCCTGGTGGGGAAAAGAGTCCTTTCATGTAATGGGACTTTCCCTCCAGTCACTGACACCCCACTGAGGAGAGCTGTGGGGCTGGGGGTTTTGCCTCCTGCTTGGAGCCCAGCTGGTTTTTCCAAGACTGATCCCTCTCACAAACCTGCCAGTCTGGATCTGCCCTTCACTGACACCTTCCAGAAACTCGAATCAAGCTCTCATCACGAGCAGATGTTTTGGCAGAGAAAGAAGGATCAGTTTAATAATCTTTGGCTGCTCCAAGCTTTTCCCTACATGCCCAGGAAAAATGGCAGTTACCAGGAGGTAATTTAAAATTTTCAGTTACCAGGAGGTAAAGTGTTCTAATCTGTTTTCTGTCTTCCTTCACAGGAAACTTCAGCTCCTTCATGCAGAAGGAAATATTTGAACAGCCAGAATCTGTTGTTAACACCATGAGAGGAAGGGTCAACTTTGATGACTACACTGGTAATTGAATTTGTGCCTCCCTGACCTGTGACAGCTCAGTGTCCAGCAGTTACCCAGGGTGGGAGAGGGAAACCTGGCTGGTGGGAGATGAAATGTGTGTCAGAGTGCCTCCAGAATTCCACCAAGGTCCCATTTTATTGTGTTTTTTTGCCTGGTGGATGATGGAGAGGGTGAAATGCTGTTAACAGCAGCGATCCTGGGAACTCCTACGTGGCCACCCTGATTTTGCTCTGATCTTGCCCACAGTGAACCTGGGTGGGCTGAAGGATCACATAAAGGAGATCCAGAGGTGTCGGCGCTTGATCCTCATTGCCTGTGGCACAAGTTACCACGCAGGAGTGGCAGTGAGTGCTGGGCTCTGGGGCCTGGGCTGGGCTCAGGGCCACGATCAGGGAGTGGGGTGGGCTGGAAAGGACCTTGAAGCTCATCCAGTGCCACCCCTGCCATGGCAGGGACACTTCTCCTGTCCCAGGCTGCTCCAAGCCCTGTCCAACCTGCCCTTGGACACTTCCAGGGATCCACAGCTGCTCTGGGCACCTGGGCCAGGGCCTCCCAACCCTCCCAGGGAAGAGTTCTGTCCTAATAATCTCATCTAAGTCTTCCCTTTCTCAGTTTACAGCCATTCCCCTTTGTCCTGCCACTCCATCCCTTGTCCAGCTCTCTTGGAGCCCTTTGGGCCCTGGGAGAGGCCCTGAGCTCTCCCTGGAGAGTGTCTGGAGTGTGCCAAGCAGATCAAGGATTGATTTCAGGTTAGGGATTGATTCTTCACCTTAATCAGGTGAAGTGCACACGGGTGAGTGAAGGAGGGCCCTTGTGAAAGCTGTAAACACCAGACTCTGCTCACAGCAACAGCAGCAGGAAATAAAAACTGAAGAACCTGGACGCAGGGAAGTGGTTCCTGTGACTTCCATGGCTGAGGAAGGCCTTGGACAACAAAAGCTGCTGTTAAAGAAGGCAGCTGGCAGGGGAGGGACGAGGCAGGAGCAGAATGCAAACGCTGCAGCAAGGCAGGGGCTGCCAGTGGGACCCAGGCTTGGTGGTTTGAGTTCCTCAGGACACCCAGCATTACATAATTGATATCCAGGGTTATATAATAAGTGAGACTTGCTTAAGAGAAATCTCCATTTGAGGGAGGAGCTGGCCTCACAGGCTGCTGCTGGTGCCAGGACAAGCTTGCTTCTCTCAGGGGCTGCTGGTGACTGAGGGTGGGCAATACTGAGTAATTAAAGTAAAATCCAGCATTAATTTTCACATGGGGTTTTAACAGTCATATTTTCCATCCTGTGGCAGCTGGAAAGGTTTTTATTGTGCAAACACTTGGTTTTATAAACACGATGTAATGACTCCTTGCCCCTCCCTGTGCCAGACCCGGCAGGTGCTGGAGGAGCTGACGGAGTTACCGGTGATGGTGGAGCTGGCCAGTGACTTCCTGGACAGGAACACCCCCGTGTTCAGGGATGATGTCTGCTTCTTCCTCAGCCAGTCAGGTACAGCCCCCTCCCCAAAACCCAGGGAGCAGCAGGGTTTGGTGCAGCCCCCTCCCCACCTCAGCCAGTTAGGTGCAGCCCCCTCCCCAAACCCAGGGAGCAGCAGGGTTTGGTGCAGCCCCCACCCCAAACCCAGGGAGCAGCAGGGTTTGGTGTGCTGATGGGAGGGAAAACACTGATTCCAGGGATGGGAGCACCAGGGAGGTTCTGCTCCCTCCCCCTGCAGGGCTCCTGTGGCTCACAGGAGTTTTGTTTCCTTTCTCTGCATCAATCCAAGGCTGCAGAGTGCTGCTGAGCTCAGGGTGCAGGCAGCTCCACGGCTCCTTGGGAACAGTTGGAGTTCTCTAGTTAAAGCACCACCATATGGTGGATTGGAGCCACAGAAGAAATGAAATTCTCAGGCATGAATAACAAAAAAATCCAACTAACTTGGAAAGGAGTAGGAGATAAAAGGTACACTGAGGCATAAAAAATTTATGTGAGGTATTTCAAGGACAGCTGCCGTGCAAAACAACATTTTTTCCCCTTAGTTGTATTTCAGGTTTTCATGACTGATCTTCAGCTGTGACACTAAACCCAGTCAGTTCCTTTATCTCCACTTTATCTTTTCTCCCTTTTGGGGAACAATTCAATTTGGGGAATGATTTTTTCCTCTCAGCACCGAGTGCCTCAGAATTTCCTCTCTGTGGGGGCTCAGGTTCTCCCTGGGGTTTCTGAAGGCAGCTTTTTGTTCTGGTCTACCAGGGAACACTCCTGGGGTCACAGCAGGGGCTCCATCTTTCCCTGGAGTGTTGGACGTGGCAAACTAAGAAAAACAAGCCCAGGTTCCAGGAAAATCCTGTCAGGCAGCGATGAGGGGCTGTGCTGGGGGAGTGTGTGCATTTCCCACCCTCAGTGGCAGCTCCCAGCCCCGTGTTCCCCGTGCTCTCTGTGCTCCAGGGGAGACAGCAGACACCCTGATGTGCCTTCGCTACTGCAAGGAGAGGGGAGCCCTGACCGTGGGCATCACCAACACCGTGGGCAGCTCCATCTCGCGCGAGACCGACTGCGGCGTGCACATCAACGCCGGCCCCGAGATCGGCGTGGCCAGCACCAAGGTGAGGCTCAGACACAGCCCTCCCTGCTGGGATCTGCTCTTCCTGCCTCAGGAAACACCCCTCTGGCAGCACCCCCTCTTTACCTGCTGCTTGTGCAGCTACAGACCCGCAGCACCCTGCGGGTTCCCCATCCTGGAGCTGGCAGAGGGCTTTTATTCGGATGAAAAATGAAATAATGCAAGGAAGCTGCATTAAACATTGAAAATGAGTGGGTCTCGAAGGGAATGATTCCCCAAGAGGCCACAATTCTCTTTGCCATTGTCTCAAGGTGCAGGCTCGGTTTAAACTAAGAGGAGAAAGGAAATTAGCAGACAAGATGATGGAAACTTTGCATGTAACTCCCTCACTGGCTCTGCTTTACCAAAGAAAATGGGATATTAAAACTCTGCTTTGAACAACTGGGGGAATGGTCTTTTACAGAACCCTGCTATTTGTGTCCAGATAACAGGGCTGATAACATCCTGGCTGTGTGAGATACAGTATAAAATAACTGACTTTGCTGAAGTGACTGCATGGTGAAATCTGCTTTGGTTTAGTTATATTTAGAGGCGAGATGATGTCAATCTGTTACATAAATTCAGCCAAAAACCACATTTGAGTTTAATAGTTCATTGGGGAATTTGATCATGGAAAATTCATGAGTCTCTTACAAGAAACTCTTGAACGAGCTGTTTGTCCCTGTTGTTTTCATATGGCCAGCAGTTACACTTTGGAGATAAATGACATTTTTTCTCTGATGATGTGGGGAGTTACCAAAGCTGTGCATATATGAAATAAGAACATGAAAAGTTTCTGTCCTGAGCTTGCCCAGAACTTCCTTTTGAGAATATTCTGATCAGCCCAGGCACCCTCCAGGCCCTGGAACTGCAGCTTTTCTGCATTCCTTCAGAGCCATTTCAGTCTCCAGTGCAGCCACGTGGGAGTTTGTGTGGTCATGGTTTAGGAACAGACAAAAATGCTCCACACCTTGATCCTACCTGTGCATGGCTTCAGGGCCAGGCTGCCCCCAAAGCCTTTCCATAACACCTGACCTGAGAGGCCAAACTGCTGCTTCAGCATCCCTGCTGTGAGCCCTGGTCAGCTCCTGCAGACAGGGGAGGAGTTCAGGAGAGTCTGTTCTTGAAGAAGGGAGCTGGGAAATCGCAGCTGTTCCCTGGGGGTGCTCCAGAAAAATCCCAGCTGGATTGTGGTGGGCTCCCAGCAAACATCTCCATCAGCGCCCTGCTGCTCTCCAGCGCTCTCAGGAGTCACTCACAGTGAAGGAGGGCCTGGGCATGGTCACAGAATAGGGTTTGGCAGTCCCCAGGGAATCTTGGAATACAAAACCTCGGTTGTTGTGCCTGAATCTCCCGGAGTATGGGTTGATCATTGTGTTGAGAATTGCCTCGTGAGCCCACGTTGATTTCTGCTGCTAACTTGGGATGAAAGCTGCCACTTGGTGTCACATTGAGAGCAGGGACACAGCTGGGCTGAGGATCTCAGCCTCTGGTGCAGCAGTGACATTTCTCTGTGCCCCACACCAGGCCTACACCAGCCAGTTCGTGTCCCTGGTGATGTTTGCCCTGATGATGTGTGACGACAGGATCTCCATGCAGGAGCGGCGCAAGGAGATCATGCGGGGGCTGAAGGGGCTGCCAGGTGAGACCCTGGGCAGGGGGAGCTCAGCAGGGAGGGGCTGGGGGGCTCAGGAGGGTGGCAGGGCTGTCACAGTTCCTTGTAGCCACGTTCCCTCAGGTGTCTCCTGGCCACCAGCCCGGAGCAGCAAAGCTGTGAGCCCAGGCTGTGTGAGTGAGTGGGGTGTGCAGTGTGAGGCACACTGAGCACACTCAACCTGGGCTCTCCCCCTTCCCTCTAGACTTGATTAAAGAAGTGCTGAGCATGGATGATGAGATCCAGAAGCTGGCCACAGAGCTGTACCACCAGAAGTCCGTCCTCATCATGGGACGTGGCTACCACTACGCCACGTGTCTGGAGGGAGCCTTGGTAAGAGTCCTGTATTTAAAGCTGGCTCAGACACAGCCACAGAGCTCAGACCTCTGCACAGGGAGCAACCTCTGGCTCCAGGTGCAGCTCTGCTGTGCTGGGCAGCACGGGGTTAAACGCAGGGCCCTGGCACAGGGTGCCCAGAGGAGCTGTGGCTGCCCTGGGTCCCTGGCAGTGCCCAAGGCTGGGTTGGACAGGGCTTGGAGCAGCCTGGGACAGTGGAAAGTGCCCAGTGGGACTGGATGGGCTCTCAAGGTCCCTTCCAGCCCAAACTGGGCCATGATTAGAAATATCTAAAAGTCACTGTGACATTGCTGAGGCTGCTGCTGCAAGTTTCCCCCCCTCACATCCTGCAGTGGCTTGGAAGGCTGTTATTTTATCCACTGGGAATGCTTTACTGGACAAACTGGGCACCCTAACGAGTGGGAAATGGAGCATTTACTTTCCAAACACATCTAGTGCAGTTGTTGCATTTGAGGATTCCTGGTGTTCTCATGGCTGTCCTTGCTGTGCCTCTGCCTGCCCAGGCAGGCTGGGAGGGTGGCTCTGGTGGCTGGTGGTGAGTTCTGAGGGCTGTGGTGGCACCTTCTGAGGGCTGTGGTGGCTGATGGCGAGTTCTGAGGGCTGTGGTGGCTTGGTGGCACAGCTGGAAGCGTTGGTGGCTGCAAACAGCCCAGCCCTGCTCGGATCTGGGTTTTTGGCCTGACTCCTCTGCGTCTGAGAAGAGCCAGAACTGAGTTTTACCAAGTGCAAGAATTCACAGAGATGCTTAAAAAAAAACCATCACGAGGTTGCTCAAAGTTTGATGAATTCTTTTCCCCCCCCTCTAGAAAATCAAAGAAATCACCTACATGCACTCGGAAGGCATCCTGGCCGGGGAGCTGAAGCACGGCCCCCTGGCCCTGGTGGACAAGCTCATGCCTGTGATCATGATCATCATGAGAGACCACACCTATGCCAAGTGCCAGAACGCTCTCCAGCAGGTCATTGCACGCCAGGTGAGGGCCTGGGGGGTCTGCAGTGCACCAGGGCTGATGCTTCTGACAGAAAAGCGTTTCACTGACAGCCAGGCTGTTCACTGTGCTGTCACTGTCCACGTGTCAGCTCAGTGGATGCTGTGGTCATCCCAGCAGCAGTTTTTGCAGCAATTGCAGAAGCCTGGCACAGTCTGGGTGACCCTTAAACGCCCCACAGGGCTGCCCAGGGGATGGGAAGCTGTTTGCTTCTAAATTAAGTCATAAATTTTGCCACTGGCGCTCAGCACAGATCGAGAGAAGAACCTTCCACACATCAGCTTTCCTTCAGCCTCCCAAACCTTTCCTTCAGCCTTCCAAACCTTCAGCCTTCCAAACCTTTCCTTCAGCCTTCCAAACCTTTCCTTCAGCCTTCCAAATCTTCAGCCTTCCAAACCTTTCCTTCAGCCTTCCAAAGCTTTCCTTCAGCCTTCCAAACCTTTCCTTCAGCCTTCCAAATCTTCAGCCTCCCAAACCTTTCCTTCAGCCTTCCAAAGCTTTCCTTCAGCCTTCCCCTCTGTTGCAGCCTTCCAAACCTCTCCTTCAGCCTCCCAAACCTTTCCTTCAGCCTTCCCCTCTGTTGCAGGGCCGGCCTGTGGTGATCTGTGACAAGGAGGACATCGAGACCATCAAGAACAACAAGAGAACAATCAAAGTTCCCCACTCAGTGGACTGTCTGCAGGGGATCCTGAGCGTCATCCCCCTCCAGCTGCTGGCCTTCCACCTGGCCGTGCTCAGGGGCTATGATGTGAGTACTGACCCTGCTCCCCGCACTCCTGGCTGCTGCTGCTGCTGCTGCAAGGCTCGGGGGGTTGGCTGTGCCCTGCTGGAGCTGCTGAGTGCCCAGGGCTACTGGTGGCCAGGGCAGAGCTGGGAGGAGGCCCAGCACACGCGGCTGGGGCTGGTGCAGCTGAGCTGGGACGTGTCTGCGCTCTGTGGGAGCAGCCAGGCTCTGCTGGGCAGCTAAAGGGAAGGTGACAGTCCTCAGAAAGGTGTTTGGTGTTGGCTGTTTGATCTTAACACAGACACTGGCCTGTTATCAGTGACCTCTGAGCACTGGAGCAGCGTGGGCTAAAGGGACTCGCTCCTCAGTTCTGACAGAAGAGTTGTAACTTTAATTAAGGTTGTGGACTCTTTTCTGCACCGATTGTTCCAAATGAACATGAGAACACGTTGGGTTGTTCTCAGTTGGAAGACAGAGCAGACATTCCACACATCACAAAGTTGTACACAGACAAACCAGGTGTGTAAATACTCACGAGCCTGTTCTTTCTCCTCCCTCTCTGCAGGTTGATTTTCCAAGAAATCTGGCCAAGTCCGTAACTGTAGAGTGAAAGATCATCTGACTCATAGGGGCAAAGGGGAATTAAATGAAAGACTTTTTTTGGTACCAAAATAACTCGATTTTAAAGCCCCCTAGGTAAATCTTATTTTGGTAAATTGTTGTTTGTGTATAAGATCACCATAATTCCATTACATTAGTGATTGTCCAATCGATTCCACACGCTATGTCAACAGCTCTGGGTTTTTTCTGATCAGTAGACTTCCATGGAAGATGTTAAAAGGTTTTCCTTAAAGATTGCTGAGTCTCCTAGGTAAGGGGCCCTCCACTTTCCTCTGAGCTGCTGTCATTGTCTCTTACCCCTTGTGGCTCAGTCACTGACGAGAAACCTCTGAAGGAACTGGCAGTGCCCTGCCATGCTCCCAGCAGGACACCAGGACACACAGCTGCTCCTGCTCCTGCTCCTGCAGGTATTTCATCAGTGAATGAAGCTGCAGGCAAGCCTTTGGGGTGAATTCCTGCCTCAGGTGCAGAAGGGAGTTCAGCTGAGCTCGCCAGGGCGCTGCCAGGGAGGTGCTGCTGCTGCAGAAGGGTTTGAGCTGTGCCAAAAACAGAGCAAGTGACAATCTCAGTGCTGTGGGACCCAGCTGGGGCTGGGAGCTCTGGGCTGTGGCCAAAGGAGTGACCAGAGCTCGCTCTGAGCTGCTGCTGCTGCTGGTGTTTGGGGCTTTTTAAAACAAGTGGAAGTTTTCCTGTGCTGAGGATTTTCCCCTTGGACTGAGGGGCACTGTGAGCACACCTGAGTGACCCAGCTGTGCACACACCTGAGTAAGGGGATAAAAAGGCTCCTTAAATGACAGAAATAAATACCTTGGTAATGTTTCTATAACAAGCTTGAGGAGAATGAAAAATGACACGGGAAATAGATCTTCAGAACTCAAAACCTGACTTTTTCAGTCATCAAAGGGCAGTTGTGATGCATTTCCCAATGTGAAAAGGTGAATTTCCTCCCATCCTGCTGGGTTTTGAATTAGCTTTACACAGGCACTGTCAAACCATGCCACAAGGTACAAAACAGTGCTGGTGAATATCCCAGGTCATCCTCTGCCCCTGAAAAATGGCTTTAGCAAATGCAGTGCTTGGGGACTGCCCAGTGCCCTGTCAGCCCCAGCTCCCCTGGCACAGGGGACCACAGCAGCCCTGAGCAAGGTATTCCCAAATTCTGTGGCCATTCTGCTTTGTATAAACCCACAGGGATTATTTCAGTTCAGTGTCAGCTGGGGGCTGAGTTTCATGATGAGAATGAGATGCTGTGAGCCTGGAAACAGCCTCTCAGAGCCAGTGTATGTGTTTATCCATCTGTCATCTGCAGATTTAATTGATGAACCCCTCGTGCTGCCAGTGTCTGTTTAAGAACAAAGTGGGAAATGCTGCATTTTAGTTCAGCCAGTGCTGTGTGTGAGGCCTGGGACAGCTGTGCCTCTGCCTAAACGTGACCTGCAGCCCTTCCTGCTTCACTGGAGGATGGTGATTGTCCTGAAGGGGAGAACGAGGCTTGTGCAATGCTCACAGGTGGGGGACAGCTCTTCCTCCTCCTCCTCCTCCTCCTCCCGCAGCAGCTTTGCTCAGGAGCCCCTGTGCAGGGCTGGCTGCAGGCTGGGATGTGCAGTGTCCATCCTCTGTTCTCAGAACACAATCCCACCTCAAACAGCCCCTCAGGGCAATTGGGGAGTTCCCTTTTCCTGCAGCCAGCGCTGCTTTTACCCTGCCTTGCACCGAGGGCAGGGGGCAAACCCCCCCTGAGCACGAGCTGCTGCTCCATCCAGCTCTGCTAGTGCAGGCTGTTTGTGGAAGCTGTGCACAAAGAGGACCAAAGAGCAGGAGTTAGAGATGCCCAGCCTGGCAGTGGAGCTGCTGCTGGGTTTGTGCCGTGCCACACAAACCCTCGTTTGTAGCTGGAGGCACTGAAGGGCCAGGGGAGCCAGCCCTGCTCTGCCTGGAGTGTCAAACCCTGCCTGCTGCAGGCTGCTGCCCTCAGGGAGCCCGGGGGATGCTGAGGGCTCAGCCTCAGAGGATGCTCTGCAGCACACCTGGATGAAGAATTTCTCTGCTGAGCGTGGCAGGGAACCCGTTCAGCATCTCGTTGTTGTTGTTGTTGTTGTTGTTGCCATGCAGTGTGAAGTGAGAATGTACAAAGGACTCTTTTTAGCTTTCCTTACCTCATTTTGTCCACCTGTTGCATTTCCATGAACAGATGATGTTTCTCTTTTCCTTAGAAAACTCTTAGGATGTCTCGTGGTATTTATTAACAGCCAGTCAGTCTTCTGCTCTCCCAAATGAATGTTTTGCTTACTGAGCCAGTGAAATTCTCTCCTTCCTCACTGAGGTGTTGAAAAATTCAGCTGCCCTTTCTCTAAAACTGAGCCACAGGTAAATACAAAATACAGATCAAGGCCTTTGCCATCTGCAATAGCAGCTTCTATTCCTGCCTGCTTTGGTTCATTTGGTGTAACTTCCTCACCTGCAGAGGCTCAGAGGGGAGCCCTGAGCTCTTGGGGGGGTTTCTTGAATTACCAAATTAAATTTAATTACCAAATTTAATTACCAAAGACCCAGCTCAGCACACGTTTCTGCCCAGACAGATTCCACACACGTGGAAACTGAGCTGCACGTGGAATTTGCTGCAGACAGAAAGGTTTTTTTCCCCAGATTTGTCACCAGAGCCCATCAGTGCCTGGGCAGGGCCATCTCCTGGGTGAGGTGGGGACACCCTGTGCTGGGTCAGGCTCAGCCCCCCGTGCCTGAGAGAGCCAAAAATCACCCAGAGCATTTCCCAGCCTCGTGGGCCTCAGACAGAACCCTCAGCCCAGAGCCTTGGGCCCAGCCCAGACACAGAGGGCTGCTTGAGCTGCAGAGTGAAGCCTTCAAAGGCACAAATCAAGCCCACAGCGGAGCAGAAGTGGCCCTTTCCCTGCCCTGGCTGTCCCCAGGAGTCCCTGATGCCACAAGCAGGGTGGCTGTGTTGGATGGAGGCACTGAAGCAGCTTGAGTAGCACATTGGTGTTTAGCTGTGGCTGATTTTAGATCCTACCTGAATGTACCAAACTTGCCTCAAAGCAGGACCCCCTTCTCTTCACCAGAAGCAGGAAGAAGAAACAGAGGTATTTGGGTTGAAAACACAAAAAAAAGGAAAGAAAACTATTTGCCTTCAATTCAGTTTCTGTAAATAGACATTTGAGTGGCAAACCCACATTTCCTCCCTTGTAGATTCTGTGCTGTAAATATCCAGCTGGCTTGGGTTCTGGGGACCAGACTGTACCGTGTTTCTGTCGTGTGCTGTATGCAGAAGATGTCTTACTTTGTCTGTTCTATAATTTGGGTTTTGTCTCTTTGCTTACTTTTTTTGTATCTCACCCTTTGAATAAAATCAAGTGCCCTACATGAAACAAGTGGAATTACTGGTCTTTAGTTAAATCCATGGAGAACAGGCAAGCCCTGTGGAAGTTAGGGGCTGGATGAACAAAGCAGAAAACCCCAGGGCTTAACTCTTCCTTTCCTGAGCAGCAAGGCTGTTTGCAGTCAGAGCTTCAGCCTCTGTTTCATTGTTCATATTCCACCTGCCCTTTCCTGATTCCCATGGTCCTCACCTGGGACAGGAACAGGACAAAAGGGAGTGCAGGGCCCTGGGCACAGCCCTGAGCTGGGTCCAGCTCGGCTCCCCAGGGCTCTGGGACCTTGTGCAGGACAGGGCCAGCAGGGGAGGCTGAGCCAGGGCTCTTTGTTCAGGGCTAAATCACAAATCAGCAAAGCCCAGCTGCAGCAGAGAGCAGCAATGGGCAAATCTGGAGAGCAGCTGGGCCCTCCCAGTGCCTCATTCCCTCTGTTCCTGCATTTCCCCCAGCTCCTCATTCCCTGTGTTCCTGCATTCCCTCTGTTCCTGCATTCCCTGTGTTCCTGCATTCCCTCTGTTCCTGCATTTCCCCATCTCCTCTCATCCCCCAGTGTTCCTGCATTCCCTCTGTTCCTGCATTCCCCCATCTCCTCTCATCCCCCAGCTCCTCATTCCCTCTCTCCTGCCCCAGGAGGGGATGGCTGGAGCCTCCTGGGCAGGGTGGACAGCCCAGCCCAGCTCCACGTCCCCAGCAGGGAGGGCAGGGGACACCCAGGAGCTGCAGGGGTGGCCCAGCCTGTCCTGTCCATGAGCAGGGAATCTCCGGGCAGGATTTTGGCTGCCTCCCCTCCCTGGATCCTCCTGGGGCTGCGAGGGGGACAGGGCAAACCCCAGGGATGTACCCAGAGCCAGCCTCCAGGGCATGGAAAAGGAGCTGGAGCCACAAAAGCTCCTCCCCAGCAGGAGAGCAGCTCAGACAGACCCTGTGCTCTGCAGGGCTCACATTCCTGCTGGCATTCCCTGCAGCAGCTCCTTTCCCCAGCCCTGCAAGTGCTGCCAGTGCAAATTCTGCTGTGCCCAGCCCAGGGGAGCCTGAGGGAGCTGCCCCAGCCAGGACAGGAGGGACAGGAGGGACAGGAGGGACAGGGTGACCCCCAGGACAGGAGGGACAGGAGGGACAGGGACCCCCAGGACAGGAGGGACAGGAGGGACAGGGTGACCCCCAGCCCCGGCCTGAGCCTCAGGCACTGCCCGCTGGAATTCAGGGGGTTTGGGGACTGCACAAATCTGGGAAAGGGAAAATCCCAACCCACGGGAGGGCCAGGTCTGTGTGACGCAGGGAATGTGTGACAGCCCCTGCTGACAGGGGATGGCTGCTCTCATCCTCCTCCTCCTCCCCAGCTGAGCCCCCTCAGCCACGTCCCCTCCCTCAGGCCCCCAGAACAGAAGTGTTGGATGGGCTGAGTTCCTCTGTGCAAGGATGGGGTGGCTCAAAGGTGTCCACAGGAGCCAGCCAGGCCAGCCAGGGGCTGTGGTTTCCATGGCTGCCTGTCCCTGTCCAGGCGGATCATTCCCTGTCCAGGGGGATCATTCCCTGTGCTCAGGTGGATCATTCCCTGTCCAGCTGGATCATTCCCTGTCCAGGTGGATCATTCCCTGTCAGGTGGATCATTCCCTGTCCAGGGGGATCATTCCCTGTCCAGGTGGATCATTCCCTGTTCAGGTGGATCATTCCCTGTCCAGGTGGATCATTCCCTGTGCTCAGGTGGATCATTCCCTGTCCAGGTGGATCATTCCCTGTTCAGGTGCATCATTCCCTGTCCAGCTGGATCATTCCCTGTGCTCAGGTGGATCATTCCCTTTTGAGTGGATCATTCCCTGTGCCCAGGGCTGTTGTTTTTATGGCTGCCTGTCCCTTTTGCAGGTCGATCGCATCGCTGCCTCCAGAGACTGAGCACCAGCACCGTCCCCGGAGCCTCGAGGAGCAGGAGCCAGGGGTGAGAGGGGACAGCCAGACCCTGCCTGGGGGTGACAGCATCTCCAGGGTGACACCAGCCCTGGGGTGACACCAGCCCTGGGGTGACACCAGCCCTGGGGTGACAGTGGCACTGGGGTGACACCAGCCCTGGGGTGACAGTGGCACTGGGGTGACAGTGGCACTGAGGTGACACCAGCCCTGGGGTGACAGTGGCACTGGGGTGAACAGCTCAGAGAAAACCCCGACAGGCACACGGACACTGCTGTAACCACCCCAAATAAACTCAAACCCCTTCTCTGTTGGTTTAGCTCAGAATTATTCCAGAGGATGGCACTGAACTCGTTCAGCTCCTGCTGGGGTTTGTCTCCAGGGAGGGAGGAGCAGGGTCAGGAGCACTGGAGGAGCCCTGCAGGGAAAACTGGGGAGGAAACCCAGAGAAATGATAACCCAGATTATATTGTTATATTATATTGTATAAATATATTGTATTTATACAACAGCAACACCCAAAGCTCCCCCTGCCTGCTCTAGAGAACACTTTTAAAGAATCAGGAATCTGCCAACAGGAATTAATCCTGGGTTTCTTTGTCAAAAAGCCCCCAGAATTATCCAGAAGGACCAGGGACAAAATTGTGCTGAACACTTTTCCTGGGGTTTGGGGTTTTTTTTTAGCCTCTGAAAGCAGAAGGTGTCACCCTCAGTTCACCCATTGGCACAGTCAGGAATTAAAACTGCATTTCTCTGCATCTCCCTGCATTTTCTGGGTCAATGCAAATTTCCTCAGTCTCCAGAAAAGCATCTCGCAGGATTTTCCTGCAGCTGCAGGGAGCAAGCAGGGCTTTGCTGTGGTGGCTGGAGGAGAGCTGCTGCCTCAGGAGGCTCCCAGAGCCCTCAGGACACAAAAAAAGCTCTGCCAACAACTCCCCCTTTCACCCTCCACAGGTTATTTTCCTCCACATCCTTCTTTAAGGAAAAAACAGATGATTTTATTTTGCAAGCGGGTTATTTTTGCTGGGTTGTCTCAGGCTGGGGGAGCAGCCTGGACCCTCCCCAGACAGGGGCAGGCAGAGGCAGACGAGCGAGGATGACTTCAGAATCTGACATTCTGAGCTGGGCTGCTTAAAAAAACAAACAAGGAACTGTCTGAAGCCACTGCAGATATTTCAGTGAGTTTCCAGCCACTGGAAACCTCTGCAGCTTCCACGGTGGCACCATGGGCTGGGATCACTTTCAGCATCACACACCCCCAGACACTCATCCTGCCCCCAGAAAAGCTCAAATCCACACCAAAACAGGAGCTCCCGAGTCGTGTCCCGTGGGATCAGCTCTGGCAGCCCATGGAAAGTTCTCTCCCTGCAGCCCAGGCTGGCTCCCTCGCCTTGGACACAGATAAAAATTCATTCCCACTCTTGTTTTCCCACATCTGCCGCAGCCCTTGGCAGCGGGGAGGGGATGCCCTGCACGTGGGGAGGGATTTTCCAGCTCTTTCATCCTTGCACCCTTTCCTTTAAGGGATTTAGGGGCTCACAAGTGCCCATGCCTTAAATAAAATCTGGGAACGGATCCCAGCCTCCCCCTCAGGCCCTCCAGTCTGGAGCATCTGCAGTGCACAGGAATTTTCATTTCGTCTGAGCCCGGGCACTGCAGAGTCCAAAACTCTCATTTTCCCAGAGGATTTTCCCAGCTTTTCCTTCAAGCAGCTCCAGGTTTGTCCCCACGGCTGAGGAGAGCTGGGATGTTCCGTGGGAATGCCGAGGCCAAAGCTGCTCCCATTATTTCCCATTTCCCATTTCCCATTATTTCCCATTATTTCCCATTTCCCATTATTTCCCATTATTTCCCATTATTTCCCATTATTTCCCATTATTTCCCATTATTTCCCATTATTTCCCATTATTTCCCATTATTTCCCATTATTTCCCATTATTTCCCATTTCCCATTTCCCATTATTTCCCATTATTTCCCATTATTTCCCATTATTTCCCATTATTTCCCATTATTTCCCATTTCCCAGGAGCAGACTGAAGGAATGCAGACATTCCCTCTCCCTGCCTTTTCCTGTCCCAGAGATTTTCCATGGAGTCAGAAACACCCCAGGAATGATCCTGACCCCTCACTGCCCACGGGGGCTCGCAGCAGAGGGGCACCAAGATCTTCTGGAGGCAGCTGAAGGCTCTCACAAGCCGGAGGAGATGCCAGGGAGGATTTGAAATGGGGATGGAAAGTGGAATTTAGAAATCCCCAGCTTTTCTTGCTGAGTTACCTCATCCCCCAGCTCGCTTTTCCGCTCCCCGCGGTATTTTTGCACGCTATGGTTTCTCCATCCCCGGTAATTCCTCCAGCTCTGGAAAAGGCCCCACAATTTAACAGAATTTTACAGAATTCCCTGCTCAGGCTGCAGCTCTGGCCACATCCAGCACGAGCCAGGATGTCCCAAATCTTCCCACATCGCTTTGGGGGATGACTGCTCTGCCCTTGTGCCGTGAGAAAACGTTTCCCCTCCTGCTCTGCACCTTCCCAAGATATTTTCCCTTCCCACATTACCAGCAGGACCCTTCAAAACATTCCACTATTAAAAAAATACTTCAATAATCTGAAAGTTCTGGCAATGTGCTACAGACTTTCAGCCACTGTCTGCATCCAGGATGATTTATTTTGCAGCTCATGATATTTTTACAAGTTTCTGATTATTATTTTATAGCTGTTTCTGAAATAAAAAGATGCCCTGCGCTCTCCAGCACAGGGAGGAGCTCTGAGCCCCCCTGGCATTTCCATCAGCCCCACACAAACCCTTATTTATCACTCAGACAGGGCTTGCTCTGCCAGATTTAGGGTGAAAAAAAGGAATTTCCTTCCCTGCCAAGTGAGGAGCTGCTCATCTTTCCCAGGGCAGGTGGGGAAGGAGCAGGACTGGACCAGTGTCACCTCCTCAGGGACACAAAACCAGTGGAAACCACGAGAAATCCCTGCCAGGGCTCCCCAGCCCAGCCCATCCCAGTGCCCCCCGTTCCCTGCCCCACAGAGGAGCTGCTCCCACAGCTCTGAGCCACCCCAAACCCTCCCTGAGCCCCCAGTG